GTAAAACATCTTTTGTAATAGAGATATTTACACCAACTCCTTCAACTTTAAAATTTTTCTGGAAGATTGTACACTATATTAGTTGAATTTAATGAAAAATAATTATCCATTTCATTTTATTCAATAAATATAGTGATAAAGTTGAATACTTTTATGATGTTTATTTTTACTGATGACAAAATTTTTTAAAATCTAATATTATTATTTAACTTATAATTTTATTATTATACATATACACATAACTTGTAATAATTTAAATATCTGTGCATGTGCACAGGGTCGAATACTAGTTGTTACAACACAACAGGTGTTTTTTATGATGAAATTTGGGGTTTTTACTTTTTTTACGGGGGGCCTGGTAAAAACCAGAATTGCCCTTCGAAAGTGTAAGTTCATAGCTAGTGAGTGTTTTTAATTTATTGAAATGTATCAATCGAGAAATTGGGGACATAACGGTAAATACAGTTGGAATGGGTTTTCAATTATTGAATGTATGGTAAATATTAACTATTTTGTATAAATGAAATATTTTTTTGCTGCTGGGATAATTGCAACAGAAATTCTAACAAAAATATTACGTTAGAAATGAGTTTTCCATTGAAATTTCAGTTAGGATTTGAAGATTCTGACGATCATTTATCCAACAGTTTATTATCGTTGGAATATGCAATTTTTCGTAGGTGTTTTTTATTTCCACGCATATTTCAACCACTGGAATTGTCAGAATCCATCGACAATTCTAATGAAAAATTAATTCTAATACAATATATTCGATGAAAATTAGAATATACTGAAAAATTACATCGAAAAATAATAACATTGTAATATTTATTGGAACTGTCGTTGAAATTTTATTGAAATATAATTTAGGTAGAAATTTTTCGTTGAAATTTCATCATTTTCTTATAATGAGAAAGGACATACAAAAAGAGTCTGTTCCCAATTTTCTCGTGTTCAAATTAGAATAGAAAATTTGCATCTAAACTTTTATTTGCTCATTACATGGTTTGAGCTTCAATTTAATATAATTTTACATTTTTCAGCCAGGCATGCTCGCAAAATGATTGTTTATAATTAGATTATGATTAACCCTTTGAACAAAAATAAATAAACACACACACACACACACAAGACCCAATTGAACAAAATTGTTTAAGTTGATTCTACCGACCTAATTATTATAATGGCTAGAAAATAATTGTTAATCGTATTCTTCGTTAAGTAGCTTAACTTTAAGAAAATACACACATTAAAAACAAGTCCTAAAAATCACTCAATTGTGTTTGAAACGTTTATTCACCGCTGCATGAAAAAAAAAAAAACAAACTGACTATTAACTTATTTTTTTCTGTTATATTAGGCTTATGATTTCTAACAACAATGAAAAACTAAAAATGTTTGATTGCTTTTAAATTAACTTCTTTCTATTACATCAATAGCTTACACAATTGATTCGATAGTTTAAATTAAATTACGTTATAAGTTTTATTATTTAATAGTCATAGCATGAGATTTCCATAGGTATGTAGTTTCATATATATCGATAAAATGATTGTGGAGAAAGAAGTTTCCTCAAGTGATGCAAATATACGTTCCTAATACTGGTGGTTTCCCAGAGTGAGTCATGATAATGATGATCACTGGGTTCCGATGATGGGCCTTTTCAGTGGCGTACCCAGAATTCTTTTTTCACTTAGGGGTGCAAAATTACTGATGTTATTTGAATCGAGTTTTCCCGTTAAAACCTTAACTTCGACTAGCTTGTATATTTGCACGAGCTCAGATCAAACAACTAATTGAGTTTGCTTATCACAGAAGCCGAGTCGAGTCGAGAGTGTCAGCTAGCAACTCGGTAAGAGTTTTGGGTTTCGGTCTACGTTGTAAGGTTTATTAAATGATTCGATGACATGTGTTAGTTTTTACATGCATTTTACAGTGATTTTTGTCTTTGTTGCGTCTTCATATATATTTATTGTTTGTTGTAGTTAATTTTATTAAGTGATGACAAAGTATTTTATTTGTGTTTTAATGGAGAATGAGATTGAAATAATTAATGGAGGCGAAATCAGGAATTCCCTTACCTTAAATAAAGTACAGATTTATTTAATTGGCTTTTTTTTACCATTTATTACAAATTCTTAAAATAATGAGTCAAATTCATTTAACAAATAATTAGAACATTGAATCCAAAATCATCCTATCTCATCGTATAAAAAGAGAATGTATCCTTTCAGTTAATGTCAATGATTACCAATAATCATTTCAATGATTTTTTTCTTGAAATAACTATTAAGAATTAGAAAATTAATTTCACAATTCACAAAAATGATAAAGAAAGGCAAGTATATGTTTGTTGACGATTTTGAATATAACTATGAAGCCATGGGTGTCAGGGAAAATGCTATTATGTTTGTTCGGCGCTTTCGTTTGCTTTCAATACCCGAAGGTGTCATGCTTCTTCGTAATATGGTTTGTGCCGCTGCTTCTCAACATGCTAGTTGTGGTGGTCATGTTGCTTGTAAGACCACAGTCCTCCCTTTCTTTTTTTGTATTTGAGATTTTTCAATGATTATAATTTAAAACTCTTTTGTTCTTTGCAGTTCAGTACGTGGGGAAGGTGTTGTTAATGAGTACCTTCCCCACGAAGAAAGTACCAATATCTATCATTTAAATGAAACCATGTACGACTTGCAAAATCCCGAGGTTTATCAACAGCTTGATTGATGGAGAGATTGTCCCTTATATTCTTGGTATGGTAGGAATATCTATCATTTATATTCCTAGTAGGAATATAAGGGGCAATCTCTCCATCAAGCTATTGATAAATCTCGGGATTTTACAAGTCGTACACGGTTTCATTTAAATGATAGATATTGGTACTTTCTCCGTGCGGAAGGTACTCATTAACACCACCTTCCCCACGTACTGACTGCAAAGAACATAAGGAAGAGTTTAAAATCATAATCATTGAAAAATCTAAAAAAAAAAAAAAAATGAGGACTGTGGTCTTACAAGCAACATGACCACCACAACCAGCATGTTGAGAAGCAACGGTACAAACCGCATTACGAAGAAGCATGACACCTTCGGGTATTGAAAGCAAGCGAAAGCGCCGAACAAATGGAGTAATAAGCACATATATAGTCTCTTCACTGACACCCATTGCTTCATAGTCATATTCAAAATTGTCAACAAACCTATACTTGTCTTGCCCCAAAAGTCCCATGAGAGACAATGTAGAAAGAGGTACCGTAATGATCTCCCAAATTATCAAAGTATTTTCCAATCTATTGCGTTCATAAACTTCAATTTTGCATGTTTTACTGCTAACAACAGGAAGGTTATAAAGTTTACAAAAGTAAACTATTTCATTCTCAAATCTCATATAAACCTTAATAATAATAAAAATGTGGAGTTATAGTTTATAATATTAATATAAATATATCAGTATAATACTAAATAAAAGTAAAAGAAAAACATGTTAGACTCACAAAAATGAGGATTATGATGTTTATTGTTATTGAGGTTTATTGATGTACGAGTAAGAACGATGCTTTGGACGGGCTAAAAAAATAAAATGAGCAGAGAAAAAGATTAAACAAACACAAAAGTCACATCGAGCAAAAAAGCAAACATGATTTAACAGTGAACTTACCAACAATGTATTTCTCTCCTAATTGATGACCTCTTCTTGAATCACAACCAATTAAAAAACCTCCCTGGACCTTCAAATACGCAATGAAACAATTTCATTATAAGTTTGACAGAGGGCAAGGAACTTACAGTATAGATGGCATTCAATATTTTAAAATAAACCAAACAAGCATCTACAAACTTCTTCAGAGTGTAATGACAAATAATTATAAGATTAAAAGTAGAGTGCACAAACATGTCCACTTGTATTCATTCATCAAAGTAAAACTCATTCACCCATGCTAAATTTTATGAAAAAATCAATTGTCATGATTATCAATGGAAAATGAATTGATTAAATACTTAACCACCGAGATCAACAAAAGTAGAGAAATAGAAACATAAAGTCAAAACAAATTTGCATAGTGAAGCTACTATCACAACAATATAGAATACTAATTTAAATTTTTAGATCAAAACAGATTCAATAAACATGGTCAGAAACCTTTAGGGTTCACATACTTTAACAAAAGGAGCCTAAAAGGACATAATCGAAACAAGGGAAATAATCATAACACGGCAAAAAAAAAAACATAGTCATCAAGAAATCTTGACAAATCTATCAGTGCATTTTTCTTTCATTAAAACCATAGATCGACAGATTTAGCCAAAACAGATAACCATACAATATCCACACCAGAAGGAAGCTCACTCTTGCAGGAAGGCTTGATCACGGATAATAACACAAAAGATATATTATATGAGAAGCCAAAACAGAGAAACTGAAACCTTAACTAAATCAGAAGAGTCAAATTGTTGGCAAGCAACAAACAGCAGACACAATAGATTATTCAAATCATATTGGCAAAAAAGCAATCTCCAGTATGCATAATAAGTTACAAACAAGAAAATTGTGTTATTAGGTGTTCTGGAAAGCCCCAAAAGCCAAGAAGATGGTCATCATGGTCACAAGCACTATAAGCAGAGACGGATCTAGAACTTAAGAATAGATCTCATTTCATAAAAAAAATCACATAAGAAATGAACTCGCACCAAATAAATTGTCTACCAAAAGTGTAAAATCTATAAAAGAAAATCTCTTATACCAAACCAGAAATGAGAAATCTCTCAAGGTGGCTCTTAGTATAATTAAATCTTCATCTTAAGTTCAAACATTCTATTCAGAACTAATATGTACTTCCCCAATAATTTCTACATTCACTTCA